TAGAGCGAGTCCCACCTAGAGGAGATGGAAGTTGCTACCCGGGAGGGGGCTGCTGAGGAGGCCAGCGTTGGCAGGGTCGGCTATGCGTAGGTATTTCCCCCACGTTAACAAAAAAAGAGAGATCGTGTAGTGAGTAAACATAGTATAGTAGATATATCTATATTGCACAAATACCTACATAGGTCCTACGTGTGTATGTTAGTCTGTGTGTTTTTTTTAATTTATTTATTTATCACCAAAAAAGTACAGAATTAAAAAAGGTTTGCTTAAAAGTGATGTAAAGTAAAAGTAACAGCCTATACATGTCCCACTGCTGGGCAATATGGGCTGGCTGGCCTCCTCTATATAGAGGGTATCAGGGCATAGTCCACCACGCGGATTGGCGGACTTCACATATCTTCGAAATATTTTTTTTGTTATTATTTCGAAAATATGCAGGTTTCCTCACGATGTTTTCACTTAAGCACTTAAAGTTAAAAACTTCATTGGTGCCGGCACCGGGGATCGAACTCAGTTTGCTCGAGTATATTGAATTAAAGGCGAGCGCCCGGACACTGAGCTATCACGGCTCACTCAAAAAAATACGGTACAAAAAGAATATTACTAAAAAAATATTACAATAAAAATATATTGAACGTTGACAACGTTAAGAATTTATGACATGTTTAGGTACACATTGGCATTTAAATACAGTTTTATTGTATGTCTGAATTTAGGTATATTGTTGTCAAAAATATCCATCTCTGTTTCCTTATTTAATGAACTGAAGGATTTAATTCATCTATTAATAAGAGCATTGAAATAATGTCTTCTTGTATCTTGTATTAACTGATGTTTTTGTTTTCAGTCCCGAGACTATTAAAGCTTCATCTGACGCAGAACCGGTGGGCTAGCCAGAACCCACGGGGTTGGAATAATGTCCTATTTCTCGTTCTGAGATGTTTCAGAGGAGCTGAGAAGTAGATTTAAGTCTTCATAGATTCGAGTAACTTTGGGCAGTCAAGTAGGCTGTTTACAAATTTTTATAAAAACACGTCCAGCAGATGTCTTCTATCGGAGAGTGCGTATAGACCGAAATATTTAAGTCTGTCAGCATACCAAAGTAACTTTTTTGTTAGACCACACTTAAAAGCCAAATGCCTATAAGAAACTTCTGTACACTCTCCAGTCTTGATGAAGACGATATTGGTAAATAAATAATGGAAACATTATTGTCGCTCCAAAATGACATAACGAAAAATTATACCGTGACGGCGCGGGGCTTATAAACCGTACCGCGAGGCGGTTTTAGGCATGTGGACTTAGTTGAACTAACAAATCGGTTCATTTTCGTTTGCCGGCGCGTGATAACTGTCCTGTCTGAGTTGTCGTGCTATTTATCAACAATCACTTGTATGAAAGTGCGGCTTCAATCTTTTAATAGCGTTCACTGCGTTATAGTCAGTATTCCATACGACGGAACAATAGGTACTCCAAGATCATTCGAACTAAAACTTTAACTCACTCTAATTAATGTGTGTGGATTTCTAATGAATTTAGTATGTTTCAAAACAAAGCCTAAATTTTTAAAGCTTTTTTGACACAGACATTATCTATTGGACATTTATCGCGAATTTCATCGACTTCTTGTAGTATGTGAGGATAAATTTTTAGGGTTCCGTACCGAAAGAGTAAAAGGGTACCCTATTACTAAGACTTCGCCGTCTGTCTGTCTGTCTGTTTGTCACCAGGCTGTATCTCACGAACCGTTATAATTAGTCAGTTGAAATTTTCACAGATTGTACTTCTGTTGCCGCTATAACAACTAATACTAAAACAGGATAAAAAAAAATTAAGTGGGGCTCCCATTAAATAGACATGATTTTTTTGCCGTTTTTATAGATAATGTATGGAACCCTTCGTGCGCGAGTTCCGACTCGCACTTGGCTGGTGTTTTAATTTTATGAAATGAATGACAAAACATTTATTTATATTAGGAGTCATCATATTTTTGCGACACCAAGCCTCTATTCTATCAGAGACAGTCGGACAGATAGACAGGAGTCCTCCAGGAGACCCCGTTTTACCCTTTGGGTATGGAATTCTAAAAATGTTTTCTGCCGATATCTCGGAAACACTTTAGGGTAACACTTTCAATGAGTGTAAAGAACTTTGTTAATCAAAATATCTTACAAATTATAAAAAAAAATAATTAACTGGCAATTTTTTTTTAATGAGAACTTTAGACTAATTTTAGTAAGAATGTGCCTGAAAATAAAGCATTTCGCAACAACAACAGAACAAAAGGTAATTAAACCGTGAAATAAGAAAAATCATTCGATTAATACTAAGCAGGAATTTAGGTACATCAATGGTATATAAACAAAATGGTATATAAACAGACGTCTTGTTATTAAACCTTGTTGCCCTTTTAATATTGCGACCATAGGATCGTGGACGGTAGAGCAAAGCATATTTGCGTATGATTTGTTTTGATAGAAGTGACCGGTCAGTGTCTGTATTCGTGCGTGAATTCCGTGGGACATTCAATATCAATAAGAACGCAATACGTTATGTAAAATCGTTTACTGATTTTAAGTGCAATTGAATGGTGACGAGCAGAGCATTCTGTATTTGGATATTTTATACTTTGCTTTTGCTCTTTTCTCTTTTTTTGTGAAAGAAACAAAAAAATTCTAACAATGTAAATACCACCGATTTAAATTTTACAGCATTCTCAGTAACTTTGAAGAACACGTTGAAACCAATATATATATTATATCAAATAACCAATGGAATAATGTCATTTGAAGATGTGTTTACTGTAAAGGAAGCACAAAATGACGCCGATATCGACCGCTTAGCTTAGTGGGTAGAGTGTCTGGACGTGTAATCTGGGGGGCGCAAGTTTGACAATGTGTAGAAAATATTGTCTACACATTGGAAATCATCTTAAGTGCAGATATTAGCACTGAAATTTAAAATTAGGAATCTTTCCTAAATGTTGGCAACATAATAGGTTGGGGAAAAAGTCTCTTCGCTTTTTATATGAAAATTCAAAACATTTTTTAATAAAGTTTATTTACATTTAACTAAAGTATGAAGGTGCGGTATTGTTCGATAACTTTCTGGCATCTAGTAGGTAGGGTCATGATCCCATTGCTGTAAAAATTCTGGGACTTCTGATCAAAAAACCGCTCAAGTGGTTTTGGCAGTCCTCTCGTGATGTTAACCTGACATTACCTAAAGAATTCTGAAGAGACCGAAACAAGTAGAAATCTGAAGGTGCAAGGTCAGGACTATACGGTGGATGCATTAACGCCTCCCAGTCAAACTCTTAATTTTTGCTGAGTGGCCAAAGATGTATGAGGTCTAGCGTTATCATGATAAGAAACCACACCCTTCTTCCTTTAATCTCATCAGTTGTTCACAGCAGAGTTCAGAATCAATGGTCCTGCCTGGCGGTAACAGTTCATAATGAATAATGCCCTTCCAATCCCACCATATACACAGCATTACCTTGTTGCGAAATAACCCGGATTTTGCCAGAGTCTGTGAAGCCTGACCAGCCTTTGACCACGACCTTTTTCGAACGTTCTTGTCGTTTGTGATCCACTTTTCATCACCAGTTATCAGGTTTTTCAAAAATGGTTCGGTTTCATTTCGTTGTAATAAACAATCACAAATGAGTACAATTGTCATTAGGTTTCTTTCAGTGAGCCTCATGAGTCACCCAAATATCGAGCTTTTTTGTGTACCCAGCTTTTTTTCAAATTCGCCAAAACTGTTTTGTGGTCAATTCCCAATTCTTCAGCTACATCGTAACTACTGATACCACTTTTTCAAAAATGGCATCCATTTTATCCGTAACAGGGCGCCCAGAGTGAGGTGCAGTTTGACATCAATTTTTTTTTTATGGGAAAAAAAGCAGCGAACGAGCAGGAGGCTCACCTGATGGTAAGTGATCACCGCCGCCCATGGACATCTGCAACACCCGAGGGCTTACAAATGCGTTGTCGGCCTTTTAGGAATGAGTACGCTCTCTTCTTGAAGGTTCCCAGGTCGTAACGGTTGGGAAAGACCGCCGGCGGCAGCTGGTTCCACAGTGGTTGTGCGAGGCAGGAAATGCCTTATATTCTGGATTGAAAAGGCTTAAACCAAATTTATGCTACTCTCACAAACATTGCAATAAGTCCTTAAATATGACAAATTTTTTTCGCGGCTTGCGTTGCATTTTCACCTTTTTTGTAGTAAAATTTTCTTCATTACACACATTTTCCTAATTGCAATTATCTTCTTTAAAATTTAAACTTTTTAATGATACCAAAACCAGCTAGATACAAATGGTATAGCCAAAGAGATTATATTATAAGTTCATACATACTATTTACGAAAAGACTTTCCCCAACCTAATATATTTAAAAAATTAAATAAATCTACTTTGATGGATTTCATCGCGACTAAATTTAAATTAAACGCAATAAATGCGAGTTCATTCCATTCGTATCCCTTTTTAACTGCTGTTTAAGCCTCGTAGATGTCTTTGAAATAACGAAGAAGTGGTCTTTTGTCCTAGAGATAGAGTCGATCGCTGGGAGTCCCGCTCTTGAATGGTACTTGCGAAGTTGCTTTTTATAAGAACTACTTTGTATTTTCTTTGTAAAAAATCATTATTATTTTAGTTTCTAGGTCCTCAGATTATTATTTGAACGTGTGATTTTGTTCTGCTTTAAATGTGTTTTACTATAAAACTATCAAAGAACGTCAGTGATCGTTGAGTTAATAATTCGAACAGTGTAAAAATCATTTCATATCATAGCATGTTATATAACTTACCTATTGAATATGTTTATCCATGCATATGAAAGAATAAATTACATTTTATCGGTGCGGTCAAAAATACTGCAGTGTAGTTCTAACTACATCAATGTGATTCTAAGAATACTGCTGGCAATCAGTACACCTGTGACAATTGCGTCTCTACATTGGAGTTTTACTTGAACAAAATTTTTTTTGAGACATTTCATGACACAATATCGACTCTACATTTCTTTATGACTATATTATTTTTTTATGACTATATTTTTTTATGTAAGAAGATGGCAAGTGAACTGGCAGTTCACCTAACGTTCAGTGATAACCGCCACCCATGAACATGTACAAGACTCGTAAGGTTACAAATGCATTGTTGCTACCTTTAAACAAACAGGCCTCCGATTACCTCACTCGCCAGACGAAACACAGTAAGTTTAACACTTCTTCACGCCGATGTTCTGTGAGGTGGTGGTACTTGCACGGCTAGACCTGCCCATGTGCAACAACAGAAGCTTTTCCGTGACCCTACCACAGTCGCTTAAATATCTATAATGAAGAATATAGTTAGAGCTAAGTAAATAAAGGCTTAAGTCTATTTTCATAATTATATTACAAGATGTCTGTTGTGTTTGAAGCTCTAACTAAAATCTAACGCACGCAAAATGCACGGCAATGATCTCTGAGCAGGTTTGTTTTGCTGCTAAACTTTGTCGGCGGCAGCTAGTCGATATCCAGCGTGTTGTGGCTTATGTAAGCGAAGACTGTCGTGGCTGGAGGCTAAGCGTAGCGGCTACGGTCAGTCGCACTCCACGCTGCTGTCGGTGCGAGCGTGCAAAACGGCTTATACGGAACGCACCCCGCCCTATCGGAAAGTCTAGCACGAAACATTTGATTTCGATAATAAGTATCGATAAATTTTCCTAAAAAATTAACTGTTTTTTTTTTTTCAAAATTCGAAATATTCATTAATTTTTAAAGTCAATTTAACTAGGGTTGTAGAGCGAAAGAGTCAGTGAGTTTTGTTTCGTTTTTAAACGATACGCGGCAAAAATGTTTTTATGACCAATCACACAGTGTAAATTAATAATTAAATGTGCTAAAAATTTAATAAAAATAGCTTTTGTATATTTTTTTGACAAAAGAATACGTATTTTATGTTGCAACTTTAACGAATAACTAAGACTTGTAGGATGTTATTCTAGTCAGCAAAGTATTTTAAACTGGATATTTTCTTTTTATAAAATATGAATATTGTATGCTTATCTTATTTTATTGAATATCAAAAAAAGCAATAATTTTTACAGATGCTGACGGATTTTTCAGTTGATGAAGATTGATTTCATCAGTTCTTTTACACCAAGAAATTACCTTTTATAGTTTTATTTTTATATAATTTTTTTAAAAGAAACATTTATGGTAACTTCGGAAGGCATTCAATTGATAACAATTATTTTATTGAAATACTATATACAGGTAGTTGTAAAATTTTAAGCATTAAAATGTCGTTGACCCTTGATACTTTACAAAGAAGTTTAAAATAAATTTATTGTTTCAAGCTTTTGGCAATAGATCGATTCTCTTAGAAAGCACGAAAGTTTTTACCATTGTATTAAATTCAAACCTTGTTAAATCTGGCCATGCATACGTAAGGGCTGGTTATTTTTTCGCGGTTATTTTTAAATTGGCTTATATTAAAATAATTATTAAAATACTCATTAATGCATCTTTTTTCAAGTTTTTAAAATTTATGTTTGAGGAAAATTATTTAATTAGGCATTGTAAAATGTTAGTCAAATGTAGTGCGATTGTATCAAGCAGTTAGAGATTTGAATGAAATGGAGAGGCGACCAGAAGACGGCAGAATTAGAGGTGCCGTGCCTGAGGACCCAGGTGAGTTCATGCTGTTTTGTATATTTACCAGCTAGTAAGTTAATGAGAAGAAAATGTAAAAAGCAGTAAAGGTTTTGGCGTACAGAACTTTAATTTAGTAATTGTATAATAGTTTTATTTTCATTGTGCAATATGATTTAAATTATTAAAAAAGAAAATGCAATGCCAGAAACTAAGACGAATACTCATTCCAAATGCAATAATCTTAAAAAATATAAAAACATAAGGAAGGTGTTTGCTTCAAACACTGATAAATTATTAGGCGAAACGGCCGATCCCGAGTTATTCATTTATTCATTTCCGTCGTACGCCCTCGACTTTTTTAGCGGTCTATTTGTCTAGCAGTTCTAACAAGACGCCTTTCTTTGTAATATAACAGCAGAGGAAATATTTATGCCGAAAAATAAGTGCTATATTAGGAGTAACTTATCTTTTCGGTCAATTTCTGTTTTATAACAGTAACAACGTAGCGTATGCATAATGTGATTTGTCCTAACCTCCAGGTAAATCTAAGAAGAAATAAATAATTGAAATAAGAAAAGCCAGTGTATAGCCAGATTTTTTGGCGGTTTGGCTAAACGCGGCCTTAAATTAAAGGCAATAATTTTGATAATTTGTTGCTTACGCGATTACACATTACTAAATTAAACTATATTTACGGATTAAATACGGAAATAAACGCGACAAATCCATATATATAGTTTAATATAATGACCTATATTTTTTTAAAGTTTATTATATCACGCATTGAACATTTGATCTTTCAGTCAAAATGCTTAAACATAAATTTATATGATTACCTAACTGACGAGATTTGAGTCTTAGGATATATTAAACATTATGTTGAAATATTTAAATGTATATTTGTTTAATTCTAAAAAAAAAATGTAATTAAATAATATCTATAATTAATACCTAACCTAAAAATTTGTAAACTGATGACAGCGATTTCATAATAGAAGTTGTTTTGTTTTCTGATCAATAGATGGCGCTGTCTCGTTCGTAAATCGCGATGTTGGGATTTTTTGTAATTAGCATAAGTCATCAGCATTTTTATGATTATACACTTCTACCAAGCGAGTACGGTTGTTTTATTCTCACGTCCGTATTGGCTTCCGATAACTGGCTTGGACAATATACATGGTCCTAATCGAGTCGGATGTATTTTTGAAATCGCACTAGAAACCAATGACGGATTGTCATTGAAGGTGCGCACCGTCGATTCTTGTGAATCGATTGGGTGATTGAGTGCAGTGCTCTACACATGTGCAAAAGTGTGTGTGTATCAGCCGCAATCAATCGAGGAGTCTGAAGCTAGAAGTGGAAGGCAGGTGGGCATCAGTGACGTCATAGCAGTACGTCACAACCTCTTCGCGTGGAGTACGAGGAAAGAGGAAGGAGAACCTGCAGCAACGGAGACATCATACGAGCTTGACGTGTGACGTCATTCTTCGGAGTAGTGTGGTTTGCAAGCAAAAACTGTGAGTACATTTTAGTGTTTAATCAGTGCAGTTTCAAGAATTAATGATTTGAATTGACAAAGGACTTAGATAAAATTTCAATAATTTTATACGGACTTAGAAAAATTAAGATAATTCGAAGTTTAAAAGAAACTTATGTATACGAGTGTTTAGTTAGTTATTAGATATTAACTTAGAATAATTTGCATAAACGTGATCCAACGGGGAACCTATGCCCAATTTTGGTTAGAATAATTAATTTTCCAAACACTTGTAAAATTTTAAGAATTTTATTAGGACTTAGAATAGTTTTCATAAAAGAGATCCAACGGGGAACCTATGCCCAATTTTGGTTTGATTAATTCTAAAACACTTGTAAAATTTTGAAAATTGTTTAAGCACTTAGAATATTTATCATATTTTGTTTTATAAAATTTCAAAATGTCGTTGTCTGCTCTAATAAAGAGTCAATTGAACTATAAGTCTATGATAGACAAGGCTTATGATAATTTTAAAAAATCGCCAAAGGATCGTTTGTGTAAAGAGTCTTATTTGCTGACGAGGTTAGATTCATTAAATGAAAAATGGCAGGTATTTGTTGAGACACATAAAAGAATTGCAGTAGAGTTTTCTGATCAATTGTTTGAAACAAGTTACTATAAGCAAAATGTTTATGAGAGTGTTGAGGAAACGCATATTGATTATAAGTCCGATATCAGAGAAGCCTTGTCATTGTTAAAGTCTCAATCAAATACTTCAAGTATACAGTCACATACAATTTCAAAGGCAGAGAATAATGTCAAACTGCCTAAGATTAGCATACCCATGTTTTCAGGATCATATACAGAATGGGCCCACGTTTAGAGATTTATATGTTTCATTGATCCATAATAATTCTTCAATAGACGATGTGCAAAGGATGCATTATTTAAAAGGGCATCTTTACGGTGAAGCCGAACAGCTTTTAAGACATATACCTATTACAGCGGCTAATTATCTAGAATCTTGGTCTTTACTCAACAGTCGCTTTAATAATAAGAAATATTTAACAAATTGTCTATTGAAACGTTTTATGAATCAACCCAGCTTAAGTAACGAATCATGCAGTGCTATCAAAAATATGCTAGATGTTACCAATGACACTCTACATGGTTTAAAAAATTTGGGCATAAATGTGGACTCATGGGATGCAATGGTTATTTACGTAATTGGCACAAAATTGGATTCCGATTCGCGAAAATGTTGGGAATCCAAAATAAGTAACTCTGAGGAATTGCCAACGTTGAACCAATTACGAGAATTTTTAGAAACACGATTTCGGTCACTTGAATTTATGGACTCTAAATTAAAAGGTAAACAGAATATAACAACAAATCATAAACCGAAAGTGTTGCTCGCTATGAATTCCGGGTCTAATGCTGTAACTAAGCTTAGTTGTATATATTGCAAAAACGAGCATAAAATATCAAACTGCAAGGGATTTTCTGCAATCGATTACGATAATCGACATAACTTTGTACAAAGGAACGGTCTATGCTTTAACTGTTTGGGTCGTAATCATTCTGCCAATTCATGTCGTTCATTTATTAGATGTCGCATTTGCAAACATAAGCACCACTCATTGCTTCACCCAAAACCAACATCAGAAGTACAAAATATTGTATCACCCAAGCCAGATTTAGCGGTGGAAGTCAAATCAACGATGTCAAACGTAAAAGCATCGTTAGAGGAGCCTAAAAGGGTGTCAAATATAGTAGCAAGTTTCTCGCAACAAACAGTACCTAACCAGATCCTGTTAGCTACCGCAATTGTTAAAGCTGAAGCGAGAAATGGTGAAGCTCACTTGCTCAGAGCCCTGCTAGATCAGGGTTCTCAAGCGTCGTTTGTCACCGAGTCCACAGCACAGTCACTTGGTCTAAGGAAGATAGCTAGAAGGAGTCACATATCGGGAGTGGGCGGCGATAAGAGGTCATTGACTTCTAGGCACATCGTTATGATGAAAATTCAATCGCGCTGTGATCCAAGCTTCCAAATCCAAGTGCGTGCGCATGTCTTAGGATCTATAACTAGCCTTCTTCCATCTGCGAAGATAGCCAGCGTGGACTGGCCAGAGCTAGCTAATATAACTCTAGCAGATCCTCAATTTCACACACCAAACAAAATAGATATTTTATTTGGTGCAGACGTATACGGTCAAATTATAAAGGAAGGGTTGATCAAGGGTCCTAATGGCACTCCAACAGCTCAGTGCACGGCTTTAGGATGGATCATATCTGGCCCCACACATAGAGTTGATAATGATCAATCTCTTTCGCCACATTGTCATCACAATGTTATCATAAGCATGCATTCTCAAGACATTGAAAATGAATTGCTGAAGAGATTTTGGCAAATCGAGTCCGATATATTCGAAGAAAATATACTAAATGAAGAAGAGAAACATTGTGAGGAGTTTTACAGCAAAACTACTCAGCGAGACTCAACAGGTCGGTACATAGTTAGACTTCCTTTCCGCGAGATCGATCCGCAATGTAAATATGGGAATTCGAGAGATATTGCACTCAAGCGATTTCATCTTCTTGAAAGGCGGTTCGAGAAGAACCCAGAAATGAAGGCAAGGTATTCCGAAGTAATTCATGAATACATGAAGCTTGGGCACATGGAACGCATAACAGGCAGTGATCTGAACAGAGCGGAGTCTGTTTATTTACCTCATCATGCCGTGGTCAAGGAAGACAAGACCACGACCAAGGTTAGGGTAGTATTTGACGCTTCATGTAAGGGAACAAATGGTGTGTCTCTTAACGATACATTGATGATCGGCCCCACGCTTCAACAAGACTTGCGCCATATCATTATACGGTGGCGTATGCATCCAATATGTCTCAGCGCAGACATTATCAAAATGTACCGTCAAGTTTTTAGTCGCAAATCAGGATGCAGACTTCCAAAGATTAGTGTGGAGAGATGATACGTTCTCTGAAATAGAAGAATATAGGTTGTTGAGAGTTACATTTGGTACAGCAGCAGCACCCTATCTGGCAATAAAAACTTTACAGCAACTTGCAATTGATGAAGGAGCAGAATATCCAGATGTAGCTGATAAGGTCAAAACAGATTTTTATGTAGATGATCTGTTGACAGGTTGTCAAACAGTAGAAGAAGGAGAAAGAATTTATAGAGATATGAAGGAGTTATTGAAAAAAGGAGGATTTGAATTGCAGAAATGGGTTACAAATAACAAGCATTTAGCGCAGTTAGTGATAAATGGACAAGAAAATCAGGAAGAGGAAGTTAATATAAGAATGAATGAGGCGGTTAAAGTACTGGGGCTTTCTTGGAGCAAGGAATCTGATAATTTTAATTACACAGTGCAAATTCCTGTTCTGCAATATCCGATCACCAAGAGGAAGGTAGTATCAAGCATCTCACGTCTATTTGACCCTCTGGGATGGGTGACACCTTGTATCATCGTAGCCAAAGTGATGATTCAAAAGTTGTGGTTGGCCGGAATAGACTGGGACGATGAACTGCCAAATGATTTACTCAAAGAATGGCTGTCCTTTCAATCAGAGCTGTCTAATATTTGTGAAATCAGAATTCCAAGGTGGCTCAAAGCAAAGGCTGATGATTGTAGCATGGAACTTCAAGGTTTTTGCGATGCTTCTAATACTGCATACGCTGCGATAGTTTACCTGAGAACCATTGATGCTGTCGGTGGAGTACATGTCAACCTAGTTACAGCAAAAACTAAAGTTGCTCCAACTATGCAAGTATCCATTCCTCGCCTTGAACTAATGGGAGCAGTTTTATTAGCCAAGTTGACAACAGAGGTAGCCAATTTATTGGGCATTAATCGTAAAAATATACACTGCTGGACAGACTCTACTGTAGTGCTGGCGTGGCTCAGCAGTCACCCTAGTCGCTGGACAACATTTATCGGTAATAGAACGTCAGATATTCTTTCAAGATTGGATAATACTCAGTGGGCACACGTTCAATCAGCCGAAAATCCTGCAGATATTGCTTCCAGAGGCTGTACACCTTTGGAACTAGCCGAAAATGGTTTGTGGCTGCAGGGTCCATCATGGTTGAAAAATACATATATTGCCTACCAAAGACCGAAGTCAATTTCCACCGACATGGAACAAAGAAAAATAAAGGTCCATATATCGATAAATAGAGCATCGGTGAATGATATTGCTCTGTGGACGCGATTTTCCTCATTGACAAGGCTCATACGAGTCATTGCATTTTGTCGCAGATTCTTAAGATACAAACGAAAACATAAGTTTGAACCTTATCTTACAAACAGTGAACTAAATGAATCATTACACGTTTGCATAAGACAATGTCAAGTGACGCACCTGGAAGAAGCCAAGGAAAAATTGAAGCCGCTGAGTCCTTTCCTTGACGAAAAAGGGATACTGAGAGTGGGAGGTAGAATTCAGAACTCAAATCTTCCCATGTATACTAAGCATCCCATCATACTTCCTCATAAGAGCCATTTCACTGATTTGGTTATTGATGCGGCTCACCGAAAAACATTACATGGGGGTCCAACTCTCATGCTGAACCATTTGCGTACACATTATTGGATCATAGCAGCTAAAAGTCTAGTTAAGTCGCATGTGCAAAAAATGTGTGGTTTGCGTTCGCCAGGCTGCATCGTCAAAAAATCAATTTATGGGTCAGCTACCATCGAGCAGAGTCACACCAGCCAGGCCATTTCTTCGAAGCGGTGTAGATTTCGCGGGTCCCATAAATGTTCGAGTAGCTAAAGGAAGAGGCAATAAATCATACAAAGGTTATATTAGTCTTTTTGTGTGTATGGCAACTAAAGCCATACACTTAGAATTAGTAAGTGATCTCACTGCTGATAGTTTCATTTCAGCGTTCAAGCGATTTGTAGCCCGTAGAGGTCACGTAAGCGAGTTATGGAGCGACAATGGTACGAACTTTGTCGGAGCGTCTAAGGA